TGATAGGACATGGGGGAGCAGTGTCAAATTAAAAGAGGAGAGATTCTTTACCCACAGAGCGGTGAGGCACTGAAACAGGTTGTCTAGAGAATATATGAGTGCCCTGTCCCAGGAAGTTTTCAAGGCCAGGCTGGATGGGGACCTGGGCAACGTGATCTCATGGGTGGCCTCCCTGCCCAGGGCAGGGAAGTTGCAACTAGATGATCTTTATGGTCTCTTCCAACCCAAAACATTCTGTGATTATATGATTAACAGGAGGAATTCTGGAGATTTTTATTAATTGAGGTTGCACTTCCTCAAATACAGCACAAATGTTTTTAATCTGACAGTGTCACAGTGTCATAGCTACTGAATTTGCAGTCATCTTAGCTCCCAGGGTGTATATGGCTCATTTTCTTCCTGTCTGCTCTTGCTTTTTCCTATTATGCCTCTTACTGCTGTCCCTCTAGGGGTTCGTTCACTCATGCAGTCTTTTGCAGGCGGATGAGAACATACTATGGTCTGTGCTACAGACCAGCTTAAAACAAATACCAGTAAGCTATAGGTAGCAAGCTGTAAGTACTGTTACACTTGAAACTGATTTGGTGCACCTGGGGCTTCTAGTGTCCTTATCTGCAACCACATCCGTAGCCAGTCCTGTATTTTGAGGTGCTGTGTGCATGTTCCATTGGATTTTGTTTGTTTTCCCTTACTTTTATTCTGTGGAGATTCCCTGCAAACCTCTGAGGTGATCAGTGCATTTTAGTAAGGTGCTGAAAGACTACAGACAGGAGGAAGGGGGTGTCCACCCTGCTTCTGCTGGATGACAGGACTGCTGAATATGCTGAGTGGTATAACAAGGGAAGCTATTGCCTCTTTAGTGTTCCAGCTAAATCTGCACCTTCTGTGCACTTATCACTGTTGGTGCGGGATTCTCTAATCCTGTGCTTTCCCTGATCTTGATGCTTATCCCCCACTTCTCAGAAGAAGCTATGAGGAATAGTGGGTGCCTGCACAGTATGATGCATTTAATGTTTTTACTTGACTTTTTAACCACTCCCAGCTTAACAACATTGAATTCTGTTCTGCCTTTACTATTTCAAGCCATGACAGCATTATCTTCCCCTTACGTCCCTCACAATCAATTCCCAGATTTAATTCTAGTGTCTTTATATTCCTTCTTCTTAACATTTGCTTTTCTTTCCTGCAATGTGAACAAGCTATTCATTCAAGATAAATACATACAGAAGATCAGCTGTTCAGCTTCTCCCTATAGTGAAATATTAATCTGGGCTACTGAACTTGTACTATTCTATATGGAAAAAATATTGTTTAGTATACTCAAGAACCAGAATCAGCAGTGGTGGTACCACTTAATGAAATCTACATAATTTTTTTCCAAAGCTTGCAAGGCTGTTTTACCCTTTCTCTGGTGTTCCCTGTGCAGCCTGATTATTGCAAATGCTACTTACTCCCCAGTGTGTGTCTGCAGCATTGGTAATTAGTGCACAATACCATTTGCAGGAGGCATGAGGAAAAGCACTGAAGTGCATTGATTAAAATTGCCACTTAGTTTAGCAACAAGACAAGCTACCATGTACCAGAGCCTAAATTATTTGAAGTGGAGGTCATGAAGAATAAAGTGGTTTTAAAAATAAAATGAGTCCTATGTCCATTAATCTGACAGTGTTCAAAATGTCTTCCCCAAAGCATTCTACTGACAAATTTTGCATGTTGATAAAAAAAAAAAAAATTACAGCATTATTAAATGAGTAAAAACCTCTCACCTTAATGCCCTTGGGCACAGTGCTTTTAATTTTGAGTGGAAGAGGCTGCCATCATCTCTCTTACAAAACCAGTGGAGAAAAAACAGATCCTCTGTGTTTCACCTAATATTTCCAAGAATGCCACTTATAACCTTCCTGTGATGTGACTTATTCTTACTCATATGCTTGAGGGAATTGAATCTGGATGAAAAGGTGTCCTGCAAATGTATGGTGTCTAAAGAAGCAGCATTAGCACTAATAAATACTAACACAGTTCTAGTACTATTCTAAATTCTCTTTTTTCTTTAGCTGCAGTAATTTACAGTTAAAAACATGTATCTTGACTTGGCCCAAGGATTTAGCAGAAGTGCAACTGCTAATGCAGATATTTACCTCATCATGCAGTCAAGTTCATTTCTGGTTTTAAAAATAAAAGTCTGAACTGACCTGTCATCTAGAGCCCTTTGCTTCTTGTTGCCAGCTGATATTCAGAATGTTATAGAAAGCCTGATGATGCTCATCTGACCCTCTTACTCCCTGCTGCTCTTCAATGTAGGCATTAGTGGTGATAGTTGGGAAGTACTGGATGTGACTGTATGTCTCTGAGCATGATGAGCAAGGATATGGGAACCCAGGGGATGTTTGCCTTGAGCCTTCTCCTAAGAGGGAGGGGCATGGAGGAGGATGGAGTGAAGCAGACGAGGCCTTCAGAGGATTGGAAGAACTCTCATGTTCAGAGTCCAGGTTCTCATGGGGTACTACAGTGATGCTAATGATCTGCTGGAAGGACAACAGCAGGACTCAAGTGATTTGGAAGTTGCTGGTGCCAATTTCCTGATACAAATGATTGAGGTGCCAGCAAGGTGATCTCCAGTGGTCTCTGCCAACTTCAGTGACTCTTCTATGGTCTCTTCTTAAATTAAAGGAATTAAAGGAGCAAATTAACAAAACAGGAACTGTGAAAAGAGGAAAAACTTTCTCTCATGCTAAAGGGAATAGAAGCAGCCTAAAACATGTAAACTTTTTAGGTCTCTGGAGTGAGATTTTTTCTTCTCCAACTTTCATAAGGCCAAAGTAGCGTACCATGGTGCTAAACAAGGAACAAAGGTTCCTGGCAATACTGTCACTGATTATTTCAATACATACACATTGTGCTTGAATTTTTCCACGGAATGCAACACACTTCGCTTGAGGCATTTCACATATGTATAACTTATAGAACAAGTGGATGCCCTAGAGAGGAGGAGGAGGAGGAGGAGGAGGAGGAAACGTTGTTATGGCAAGTGAAACATTGCACCTCCCCTGCAGCATGTGACAGCATAATTTACAACTGCATTTATACAGACACTTCATCTGATACAGGAGAAATGAACAGGATATTTCATAGGAAGTTCTTTATAATATAAATCAAATGGGAAACACAAGTCCCTATAAAATGCTTTGTAAGTATGGAAATTCAGACCAGGTTAGTTTTCAGATAGTACTTAATGCAAAGGTTTCAAAATGTTGCCTTTATGTGTTGTCACTCCCAAATTGAGTCAGGTTCTTAGAGTATAATTGGTGGTTTTTTTAAACGTAAGTTTCTTTAGAGATCCTTGCTCTTTACTGTAAGGACGAGTAAGAGATCAAATCTAGTTTTTAGATGTAGCAACACTTCAGAGGAAAGCTGCTCAAAAAAAAACCTGCTCAAAAAAAACCTGCTCAAAAACCTGTAGGATTTCAAGACAGTGGAAACAGCATACTTTTGTTTGAAGAATTCAGGTGGCTGTGGCCTTGTGTTCAATTTCTGCACTAGCTGTGAAATTATATGAGGAACATATTTCAGTTACAGTACTGAAAGTAATATTATACTTATAGAAAAATATTTTATGGTAATGATACCCATAAGTCAAGTGTTGTTTTACTAGTATAATGATCAGTGGTTGAAGTTTACAGAAATGGTTAGAATGGATTCAAATAAGTTTGTGCTGAAGTGGATGTGGAGAATACAGATGAGCAGTGGGTCCCATAACTTTTTCCTGGAGGTGGTAACACACAGGTTCATATTGGAAGTTGTTAAACTGACTCCAGCCAATTCCCAAGTCATCTCTTGGGGCCTTTGAGCTGTTTCCTGTGCCATTTGTTGTGTCTTTCCTTGTTTAAGGAGAGAGGAATCTATTGCAACACACTTTAGAGACAGTTTTCAGTATTTTTTACTTAGAAACTTTGTTTAAAACTGTGTTTACCTGCAGGATGGCATCTTGATACTGATTGATTTATATTTTTGGTCTATTTCTAGTGGATTTTTACTGTGTAGACAGTTTGTTATTATTTTTGAGGAGGACATTATAAGATGGATCAAATAATATATGACCTATATTTTATCCAAAACATTTGGAAACACTAACTTTATTAAATAAACACAAGCTCCAGTGTTTGTTCTCTACTAATCTAAACGAAAGAATTAAAAATACATGCACCTTTTTTTCCATTTCCAGTGCTTTTGGGCTGCTTCCTTTTCATTTTTTAATATAATTCCATAATTAAAACATACTTGTTCTTACTTTATGAAAGAGCATTCGTGGTATGTGGATCTTTCTTTCATTTAAATGCCTTGATATCAGAAATATGTCCTAAAAATATCTAGTAGCCAAGCTAAGAGAACTATCACACTCAACATTTTAATCAGATAATTTTCCCTTTGGCACAATTTCTGCTTTGCATTCTTGAAGTTCTTTAGTTGTATGAGCCTGTACCTCACACTCTCCAGGAATGAATAATGGGGCTTTAAATTTGTTGTTGCTAATTACAGTTTGATGATACTCCTTTTGCAGCCAAAATGGATTTGAAAGAAACCTCACTATAAGAGTCTAGTTATAACCTAAAATTTTTCCTCTCTATAGCAGAAATTCATCATATATCACTGTAGTAGAGCTGAATTTTATAAGAGATAGGTAAATAATTTTCTACAATCAGCATTATTTTAAGAAATCTTTTAAGGGGGAGGAGGGATTAGGAAATGGTGATGAATTGTTCATGTTTCCATTAGAAAAATCCACTTAATGGGTTGTAATTCGTACATCCATCCATGCTGTAGGTAACACAGGTCTCATTCCTGAGTGAAGGGATGAAGAAATTGTGAATCTAAAACTGAATTACTTGTTCCTTTCTACTACAGTATTATATTCTTATAACAAGCCATTTTCAAATGAAAAATCTCAAGTTTGTGCTTCATCCTCCGAATGAGAAAATGTGTTTGCTTCTCTTCCCAATTAGAAACACACATTTTGGATCAGAAAAAAGAAGACTTTTGTGCTGAACTTCAGTTTTATAAGAATTTTCAAAAACCCACAGAATTTTTTATCCAGGCAGAAACTGAAGCACTGAACCTTTCAGATTTGCGAGTAACCAGTCAAAGAGGAGGAGTCTTAACTGGCTGTAATTCTGGTTCTGAAGAATCAAGGTAAACCAAAGAAATACCCCTCTCTATAGTTTTTCTAGATTCAAAATATTGACAATATACGCATGGATTTTTGAGTAAATACGGGGAAATTTGCTTCCCACATGAGAATCAGTAAATCTTTTTGCTTAGACTCACCATATTTGCCTTTCTTCCCTTGTGGAATGTAGCATTTCACCTCTGTATTCTCTAGCATTCATAGAAAATATGATCATTGCAATGGTTTATATCACACATTATGGGTATATCAATGATTGTGATCTCTACAGAGAATTTTGAAAATGCATGCTGAACAGAATTAGAACAGATCTTGAAAATATAATAGTATCTGTGGCTTTACACAACAAACATCTGAAATGTGATGAGTGAGTAGGAAGCAGGAATAAAGCAGAGTAAAGTCCAGATGAAGCTGGAAGAGTAACAATGAGGAGCTATAATACCTTGTAGCAGTCTGTGACAGGAATCTGAAGATGGGCTAATATGGTTGAAAAGTTTAGTACAGACTCTGAAGAGTGTTGTGTCATTAATTTTGGTCATTTCTTGTCATTAATGTTTTTACTATGCAGTGACCCTCTATATCAGTCTTAAGAAATTTATACACTCATTCTATATGAAAAAAAAATGTATAACTGGCTGGCTGGTTATAGCTTTGACTAGGCAACTGGTATGGGAACATGCTGCCAGTTTTGAGTGACTTAGCAGTCTGAAGAGCAATTTTAACTGACAGTGTCAGAGTTGTTTTTGAAAATGGGATCAAGGCTGCAAAGCCCTGTTGTATACTTTTGGAAAATACACTAATTCCTCACATATCTAATAGATTCTACACCCAGTTCTCTTATCTTCATTATGATCTAACAGTGACTTTTTGAGCCAAACCCAATCCTTAACACTTTTTGGTTTTCCTTTTTGCCTTTTTGTATTCATGACTGAGGTTTGCTGTAAGGGCAATGCATCTTGCACTAAATGCCAAGTGTAATCCAGAGTGCTTAGGTACAGCCCAGCACAGAGTCAGCCAAAAATTGTTAATTTTACCTTTCACCAGTGCCACTCCCACTGGTGAAATCCCACAATCGGGCTTGTCTTGAACACGGAGATTAACTTCTCACAGCAGTCAGCATGTTGAACCATCTCAGCTCCAAGTATGTTACATGTAGGATCCTAAAGCTATTTGCCAAAACCTGTCTTTGCCCAAGTAGATTGTAATTAGAGTATATGTTACAATTTCTTGATATGGAAAAACCCAGGAAATGTTGAGTCAGTGTTGATTTGTCTTTTAGATGGTGGTCTTGATGTACTGTCAATGGGATTTGTCAGTTTTAAGGAGACAGGAAGAAAACAGTTATGAGTTATATTCAGACTTGTCCATGGAAGCATCTCTTGAAAGGAAAATGCACAAGAATTGCTTGAGTTTTGTCATATCTGGGCAAAAGTATCTAGATGCATCTATCACTTACAGCCCAAAACAGTATTAAATGAAATATGCACAGCAAAGGTTAAATAGGATTTGAAGGACTTTGGAAGGGAGGAATGCAGTTTAAGCCACTCTTTCACCCATTTGTAGTGTAATACACTTAGTAATACTCTCTTGATGTCAATCTCCATGCTGTGTACCTTTAATAGGCTTTAGGTTGCACAGCTTGCCTGCAAAATAAAGGTCTTAACTTCCTTCTTAAATAACCATAGAGAAAATAAATCCAGTGGAAGCAGGTGAAAAAAAGGGTGGCTGAATACAGAAAACTCTCTGCCTAAGAGAATGACTCTTTGGAGCAATAGATAGCTTTCTTTATCTTTCTAGGATATGAATTACACATAAAATAATGTCTACAGTGGAAACAGGAGCTCAGAAGGTATAGCTTTTCTGTGACTACTTCTTGCCAGTTATTGGCTATGAAGTGTATACCCAGAAAATGCTTAAGAAAAGCAAATGTTAAAAAATATTTGCTAGTTCTCTTTTCAGTCCATTCATTTACTCATTTTGCTGCCATGCTACAAGTGAGATCTGAGTGATCTATGACTATCAATGGATACCCAAGAAGATTTATGAGAGTCTTACTTTGAGACAGAATTTTTCTGACCATTAAATCTTGTCTTATTCTAAGTTGTCTGTGGCAACTATGGCAACGAATGATAAGTTATTTTAAAACTCTTAAGTGGCATGCAGAATGGAATTCCTGTTGTCAGTTATAATATTTAGAATCATACAATCATTTTACAGAGTTCTTTAAGATGTATTCCTAGATCTTTTTTTATGGATATTCTCATTTCAATTCCTGTGCAATCATCTTACAAAAAAAATTTGATTTGCTTAAACCTGAGCATCACTTTGATCCCCAAATGTTTTATTACTTTTTGCTCTGTATTAAGTAATGGTTTTTAATATTTGCTTTCCTTAAACATTTGCTGTTTATAGGTTTCATAGCCAATTTATATTCATCTGGCTTTTGCCTTAGTACTTTAGGATATTTATTTACTACTCCATATTTACAGATTCTTTTCAGAGTTACAGCTTTAAGAAGTGGTAGAAGGGCATCCATTTTTTCTTCCTATTTAATACATTTGCAGTTGTTAAAAAGTTTGTTAAGTTTTGATAATTTAATTCTGTGCATTTTGTTTCAGAGGCGTGGAATAACACCTGTTTTTTTAATTATTTTTATTTTCTTTTTTTTTCTTTCCAAAATACAGCACTGTAGAAAGAAAGGATAACAGGGTGCTCCCTGAATTTACATCATCATGGAGCGATGCTGAAAATTTAGGTGGAAAAACAGAAACTGCATTCCTTTTAAAAGAATTGGACACTCTGAGGGCCAAAAATAAAAAGGTACAATTGAGATATTCAAGATACCAATATTTGCTTTTATATAATTGCCTTGCAAAACATACATTTTAAACTGTGCCTGATTTCGTTTTGTTGTTTATTTTAGTGCACCAATCACTAGCTTCCTGTCATTCTGGATTCTTACCTGCTTAACAACTATTTCTCTGTAATTAAAAAAAGCCCCTCCAACCTACTCTGACTTTTTTAATCGGTTACATAGATTATTGCACCCTGGGTGAAAACCAATGAAGACCGAAGACTAGACCAAGATTTCATGGGTAGAATCTGGAGCTCATTCTTCTGATGCTTCTGTACATGTTACCTAGATAATTAATGTGCCCTGATAACTCAGCTTTATTGAAGGGGAGAAAATTCCATCTTCCTTGGACACTGCATTGCTTCTAGTATTAGCTGTGGTTGCATGTGTCTAAACAACCTAACAGTCTCTAGTCTTTCCTTGAAGTGTCATTGAATATTCAAGCTCAGATATCTGTCCAAGAACAGATTTAGTGAATACCCTTTAAAAGGAAAGGCCTCAATGTGTGAAAGAATACCAATCTTATATCTGATGAAGAACATGAAAAAAAATGCATTTACACAAGTCTTTTCAGACTGTGATGTCTGTATCTTGGCAGGAAACAGGCTATTCATGCAACCACCTACATTATATTACATGCAATTCTGAACTTCCTTAGCAAGAAGGACTACAGCTGGTGATACCTGAGGAAGAGAATCAAAAATAAAAACGATGGCATACTCATTGCTACTTGTCTCACCGAGTAAGAAAGGCCAGATGCTAAAAAAGATACTCTTAACACTTGTTCTTTAAACAAATAAATACAATAAATTTAACTTCCTTTTTAATGCTTCGTGTTTGTATGTTGGGGGTGAGAAATTGTTATTTGAAATTTTATTGTGGTTGAAAGTACTGGTTGATCGTTTGAACCAGATGAGAATCTTACTATCCATTTGTTCAATTCAGCTTCAAGACAAGCTGGCTGAAAAGGACAAAGAGCTGAAGACAATGCAACTGGACTTAGAATTGCAAGACAGAGCTACAGAAGCTAAGATTGCAGAGAAGATTGCAGGTACAGTAGGCAAGCGTTTAACAGATGGCTGTATGGCTCATACAGTACCCGTGGTTGCTATATGACGTGGCCTGGTGAATGTTAGCTTTATTTGCTAAAGGAGGGAAGATTTGACTTTTTTTTTTATGTGTGGCTGTTTAGAGTTGCTTAGAAAATAGATGGCTTTAACATCCTGGTACTGGTATTAGTAGGAGCTTTACCTGTATTCATACTGATTTGGGCATTAAATGCATTGTTAACACCATGTCAATCCAATCACAAAAAGGTTGTTTGTTTTGTTGGAAGGTCCTGAACAAACAAGGGGAAATAATGATTACCAGTGCCTCTACCTTTCAACCAGCAGTTCAAATACCACTTATTGTTTTAGCTGGTTCAGAGCAATACTACCCCCTCCCCGTGTTTGGAGATAGTCTCGCATTCACCTCAACTAGAGACCTGCGCTGTTCTTGAAAAATCTGCTCTTTTGGTAGTTAAAATGAATTTTTGTCAGATAATGACATATATCCAGTGAATGAAGTTTATATGAATTCTCAGAAGGAAAGGTTTTTAAGTTTATAGATGAAAGTGAACATGTGCTTGTATTTATTGCTAATTGTTCTTTGGATAGACATAAAAGCATGGAGACAGTTTCTATATTGTTTCCTCATTGATCACACACACTTCATAGAGTATTAATAGTTCTAATAGTGGTCCACAAAATATTTGTACTAAAAGGAGGAGTAACTATCTTCAGGAAAATGGAGCAGATAATAAACTCTCTAGCTGAAAAACAGATGGCTGACATTCCACTTAATATCAAACTCCTGAGAATATGGTATACTGTGGATATTATAGATTGAAAAGAGAGTTCCTAGGTTTTCTGTGGTGGGGGAAGGGAAAGTCAAATCTAATGAACATCTTAGAGAAAAAATGAAATACAGGCATAATTTTATTCTTATTTAATTTCACATAACTGCTCGCTTTATTTTCAGAAGGAAGAAAAATCTGCACTTTGTGTGGTTGTTATATCCACCAGCCAAATGCTATTGCAGATTGTTTGGCTTGAATATGAAGTTTTGTGTTTGTTCCTGGATATTTGCCCAGTGTTTACCTCTGTACTTGATTCTCTTTGGTATAGGTGTCCATTGCTCATTAAAACCTGGAAAGAAAGGTGTGTCAAAAACAACGGTAGTTTTGTTTTCATGGATACAGTTGAAATACTTGTTAGGAAATTGTTGTTTTCCTGCACTACTGCTTAAACTTTCTAATTATGTCCTAAGCATATTTTTCTCTTCAAAACAGTGGCATGAATATGAATATAATAATTTAACATGCTTATTCTGTTTTAAAAGGAAGACTAAACCAAATTTTAAAGATAGCTACATAGTGTAATAACAATGACCTTTAAAAAAATAACCTTTTTTTCTCCTTTTATGAGTGCAGGAAGTATAAAATCCTTTAAATGCTGAAGAGAGAGGGCAAGGGGCTCCTTACTACTTAAACTGTTTGCCAAAAGGAAGCATCGTTAATATTTCACAGTTTTTTTGCTTCCTGTCTTACAGTTTTAAGAATGTTACCAAATTTGTATAAATGGTTTGAAATCTAGAATTATGTGAACCAAACTGGGTTTGTGGAAGCCTCTGTATATCTCTCCCATAAAAGCCTTGGGGAGAGTTCTAATGGATAAGCAGAACCTAATAAAGAACAGACGGTGTGTTTAAGGAAAAACTTATCCCCCTGCATTAAGTTCTTTGAGGAAGGGAGAACACATGCTACTGTGATTTCAGGTTACTAGTTAATGTTTAATTACTGCAGTGTGTAACACATGGTAGAGTGAAGCTTGTAAATATGGGTGTTTGCATTTTTATTATTACTTAGTACTGACTTTATGATAAGTAAGTGACTCCACAAAATTATATTGTAAAGAACATAAGAAAGGTACACCATAAAAGTGTTATCTACTTTGAGGAATATTAGAATTCTGTTTTAAAAGGTAACCCTCTAATTGATAGGTTTTACCTAAACAAGTCCCATGGAAAGAATTGAAAAGTGAAGACAAAGGGCATTTTGAAACAAAGCTACAGCAGTCTACAGAAACAGATAATCCAAAGATTGTCAGTTTATGATTTTTACATTGTTCAAAGGAAAAAGTGAAGAAAAAAAGGGTCAATTTGTGAAATGCTTAATGAGAAAAGAAGAAAGGGTAGAACTAAGGCAGAAGATATACATAATGGAAGGAAAGTATAATACTGTACTTTACAGTACTGTGTACTGTTCTCACAGTGCCACTACTGCAGCGAGATATACCATAGTTGGCGTCAGAACAGGAGCTCTCGGAATATTTTTGTTGCTATCAGAGTATATATTGAGACTAAGAATAATACTGAATGAAAATATAATAAAAATATTTATCCTTAAATCTTTCTGTAACAACATTCCATGAGTTGGGTTTTGTGCCAGTGTCTAATAATAATGTTACCAAAATTTAATACTTTCTTAAATCAACATCAGCTCAGCAAGATTGAGTCCAGGCCTGCTAGGGGTTTCACACCATTTTCAATGCCTGAAAACTGTATTAGCTTTCTGTAGATGCTCTCTGAAAGACCAAGGTAATGATAGGAAATACAGTGTGGAAAAAGAGGAAAGTGGTATTTCTAACATGATGGTATATATTGCACAACCTTCAGTCTCTTGGAAACTATGGCAATATACCTACAATGAAGTCCCTATTTCAGGTCTGTTTTTATGAAAATGTTATGAATATACATTTGTGGTATTTTGGAATTCTTGAATATGGTGTGGAAATATTCATGAACATTATTTGAAGTTTTCTAAATTAACTTGAAAAATAATTACTGAATATGCATGTGCAATAGATTTAATAGCAAAAGTAAAAACAAATATTCAAGTGGCTGTTAGCTTAGAGTTAATTTGATTTAATATCCATAAAGTAAGAGGAAATAAGTAATCTTGCTGGTAATAAACTTGGGGTGGCAATAACTTTCAGCACAGAAGAAAAGTATTTTCCATTTCTTCAAAGCTCACTTTAGAGTCCCTTTTTAGATGTTATTTTTCTTTCCTGCATGTCATCCATTAAAGATTAGCTGTGGAAGGTTGGAGCATGGAGAGATTATGAATGACAGAACAACTCCTGCAGAATAATAATCAGTTTTTGGTATTTAATGCTGTTTGACTTTTGCAGACACATTTCTTATTAACCTTTGGTACAAACAGAAATCCAGGTTCCTGATATCTCATGGAGAAGATGAATTCAAGATCCTCTTCCAATTAAACTGAAATAAGGCCAATATTGGGCTTTAGCCAAAAGAACTCAGTAGTTCCCAACTCTCATGTTTATAAACCTAAATATGAATGATATTTTACAGTTTAAGAAGGTAATGCATATGCTTCCCTAAACCACTTTTCTGTGCATAATTTATTAATAAATTTAGTCTATATAACTCTTAGTGCGTTTATCCTATTAAATGCTTCATTATGCAATACTAATTCCTGAATATCCTTTCAAAATATTTCCTGATAAATAACCCAATTTTGAAAATAGCTAGAGGATTTGAATCCTCTGTATGGGAAGGTAGGCAATCCATCTAAAAAATAGAAAAAACCCCAAGGTGGGGCATTGTGACTGAGAAATTCTTGGCTTAATTTTTAACAGCTTAATTTGAAACAATGTGATTTTACCTTCAGATTGTCAGAATTGTTGATTGTCAAAAAGCTGCATACAACTCTTGGAAATACAATATACGATGGGTTAGCATAGATTAAATTGCCAATTACTAAGCTATTTATTGGTGGAGCTTGTATGTAAAAAGCAAGCCAGTTTCTTCTGCATTTTTTATGACTAGTCTGGCTTTTCTTTCTTCCACACAAGTGCTGGATGAGCATAAAGAATTGGGTTTTATTCAGGAATAAAAAGGTCTGCAAATGGTCTACTTCTTGGGGCATTACAAAACTTTCCTTTAACATGACAAATTATAAATTGCAAACTTCAATGCGATATTTTCCCCCTAAAAGTAAATATTCAGGCATCAGCAATTATGCACTGAAGAAAAAAGTTTAACAGCATTATGGTTTGAATTTTGAAGTCAGCTGTGTTTAGTGTGTTAGAGGCAGAGGCTTAAGTATTGTACAGGGATTGGCTTTCACAAGAACTGCCTTGGGGTCTGTGTATAATACTCCTTCCTATTCTTTTCCACTTTATTTTTTTTTAAATTGAATTGCGATCTGAGTACACAAAGAAAACCCTATGCAGAGCTGCCACTAAGCAACTTTAGCCTTTTATTAAGAACACTCTTTTTATAGCATTGGAAATGTAGGAGCAGATGAATGCTATGCACTAAATACATACAACAAACACAAAGTAATAAAGAAGTCAGTGTGTTCTATCAGTGTTTGTTCAGATTGCTTTATCTATAAAGTCACATTTAGGTGTAAATTACTTTTAGTCTATAACTCCTGGTACAGACTGATGAAAACTCTTAAGTAGTTTTCCTATGATCTTCTTATCACTGTTTTATTTTTCAGTTATACATCATAACTGAAAGTAAATGAATGGTAGCTTTCAAAAAAGAGCAGGGAACTTAAGTTGTCTGTTTTGTAATAGAACATGTCAGCACTATTTTTAAGTTGACAGTGAGCCCTGGAGCTCCTGATAGTTTGCCATTAACCTGAATGAGGACTCTGTAAGAGCTTTAGAATTTGAACATTTCTAGGGATTATCTGCATTTTGTAACATGTATAAGCAGAGACCAATTAATGACACATTTTAAAGGCTTTCATGCAATTCAGGATTTTTTTCTTAATTTTATTTAGGAGTTGTGAGCTCAGTCATTAAATTTAGTAGAAGGAAATATCAGAGGATTTTGATTTCTAATTTGAGTGGATGACAAATACATACATGTTTGTATTTCTGTAGGGAGAACAAGCATATATCCATATGGTTAAATAAAATTTAATATATCTGTAAAACTGACTTTTATTGAAAACCAGTTATTATAGTGTTAGAGTATTTACTACATCTTCTGAAATACGGTAGCAGTGCAGATAGTGATCTCCTATTTTCTATATAAGACCTGGACTGTATTCTAATTTTACTTTTTTTAATGAGTTATGTGAAGTGATTTCTGATGCCATAAATGTTTTTAGTCCCAAAATTTTCCTCTTTTGCCTCTCTTACTCAGTTTATTTTATTTACACAGATGACCTCTAGGAAATAAGCAAACAGACTTTTATCCTGGGAGTCGTGCTTTCCTTGCTTCCCTCAAAGTTCCTTGTTTGGAAAATCATGAAATACTGTTTAAACTAGAATGATTTCCAGCACACCTTCTCAGTACTGCTGTTTTAAAGGTGGTTTAAAAAGTATAGGAGACAAGTTTGCCAAAAGAATCAGGTTCAACTAAGAAAATATGTACATTGCTTTGACTCAGTAAACTCATACTTGGTATGGTTCATCTTCTTCATATTTACTTTTGCCCATATTAGAAAACAATTAGCTTACTAAACAAATTTGAGTATTTGGGATAAAAAAATCTACTTTGAGTCTCTCTCATTTGACTAAGAATTACATGATATTTGATAAGCTTGTTTAAAAATGGACATATCCAAATATTATTGTAAACACCCATTGATTTGTTTTACCTGCAATATAAGTATTTTACTTAGTTGGCTTACATAGTAGCTAATAATATTTGTTAATGTAATTTAACTGCTGTGAACCTTTACTGAACAAATATTGAAATTTATACAAGTCAAAGAAAGAGAATCTCTAATGACTTTTGTAAAAGCTTCCATTTAATAGTTAAGGAGAAAAGTTTATATGACATACCAGATGCAATTAACAGTAGATTTTACATTTAATAAAAAGAAAGAAGCATATGTATTTGCTTTATTCATTCCATCATAATTTGCATTAGAGCTGTGGGTGTTTAATGAGCAAATTCCAGCTAAAATGCTATATTGATTTTCTAAGTGAACTTTGTAATAGCTATCTACCTTACAAAAGCTCTCTGTTTACAATTGTTTTCTTTACTAAAAACTAAAAATGTTTTAGAATTGATGAGTTTAGCATAATGATTCTTTTAAAATAAAGAGCTCTTTTAGACTATGCAGGGGGTTTAGTTACAAGGAGGAAGATGTTATTAAATTCTTCCAAAACAAGTTTATACAACTAAATAGTAGTGCTGTACTTTTATATACTACAATATTTGCAAGCATGGGAAAATAATCCTTTTTTTCTTAATTCACTTGTCTGGGATTTAAATATTTTAACTCTTGAATGCCATTATATGTATGTGTATATATATATATATATATTAGTAAATGACACAATTCATTTTAGCTTAATGCTAGACTACTCATACTTCATTTCTGTATGTCATTTTCTTACCTGAAATATGAATTCTCTATGAATTTGTGTTTCTTTTTGGTCAGGCCTCAAGACTGAAAGGATAGGGATGGTTGGTATGCCACTATAAGGTCTCCAAGGAAAACACTCTAATGTCAACCAGAGCAGTTGGTGAAAAAGTATCTGGATCTGCGTTTTCTTTGGATCAGGTGCCAAGTCAGTGTGGCAGTATGGAGTTAGTGTTTTGCTGGATATGTCATATCTTGAATGGAATTTTAGAAGCATGACTTGGTGTTACTCTCAGTCAGTTCTCACCTCACATTTTTAAGATGCATAGAGATGATAATTAGATAATTTTTACTCTTTCTAATATGAAGGAATTTCATGCCACTCTTTCAATGACTCTATCTGGACAGCTTATACTCGTTTTCCTAGATATGGTGCAAAATGTTTTGCTTTGCTGCTGCATTGAGACCTAAATGTGTATGCTTTTCATTTATTTGAAGCATGCTGTGGTCCTTACGGTCCTGAACTTCTACTTGTGACTCATCCGTAGCTCAATGTGAATGGGGCATGTTCAGACTACCTGCAGTCATGTGACTGTCATAATATTCCCTATAGTAGGAAAAAAGGAATTCATAAAATATTAAATAAGAGTCAGAAATGTATAGCCATTGTATAGCTTTAATTTAGTGGAAGGATAAGAAAGCAACAAGAAAGAGTTGCTCAATTTAAGTCACTTTTCATAGCTGATAGTTAAAATACAGTGTTTTGTAATAGACTTTTGAGTGGGGGAAGGGTTCACTGTTAGCAATTAGCAATCTGAGCTGCTGTCGGGGGTGGTAAGATTTCAGATAAGCAGGATGCTTAAATAACTTGAAAAATATCTTTTTTTGAATGTTTTCATACTGTTATGTGTACATTACTTTGGTTTAATGACCATTAGTTAAATAAGCATTAGTGTGTTTTTTAAAAGCCTGTATAGTCATTATTACCATTGGCTATATTTACAGAGAGGGATTTAGATACGCCAAAAGACAGACACTCTGTGTGTACACGTATGTTCAAGATCCATTGCAGGAGTCAACAAATTGTGGGGTTTCTAGATTAACAAATTTAGGGTGTTCTAAGGTACACTTGAAGAGGCCAGAAAGAAGTTAACTAAACTGGAAAATAATTAACCTCAGAAGAGTAAGAAATGCCAAATCTTCAGTTATTTTAGACAACTGTCTATTCATTGCAGCAATGGTTTTCAATGTGAAAATTGCATGGTGTGTCCACTTGCAGCTTTGTGGAAAGGGTTCTCTCTGAAGTGTCTCTGTTACGATCCTAGATAAATTGACATAATTTCCTGGAAAAACTACAGCAAACAAATATATTAAGGTACTGATAGGTAATAATTGTATTCCAGATCCAGTCAGGACATAGTAGTTGCCCTGTAGTTTACCCAGGCAGTCATTGCTCTGGCACTAGTTTCCCTGCCATCACAGATCTCAGCAATTGAAGTGAAAGTCTGGTGAGCTGAAACGTACAGCCTAAATTACCTCATATGTTTTTTTCTTGTCCTTGCTGAGCCACCTACCTTTGCAAATATCAGATGCATTCTCTGCAAGTGCTGCAAACTTACTGCTGGATACCAGCCAGTGCAGTGTTACAGCTGCCCTTACTCCTTTCTTGGTTTTTCCATTCCACATCAAGCAAAGTTTTCTTGTTGCAATCAGGGGTAATAGATCTTCAAGGGAAAAAGACACTATTCTTCTGGATTAAAGAGAATTTAATCAGTGTTTGCTAATTTTTGCATACATTTCAAAATATGCGCTTCCAATGCTGAATTTCTTTTGTTGTTGTTGTTGGGACACAACTTGTTACAGCTCTGACCTGCTGACTAGGCTTGTAGCTCCTCTGCAGACTTTGTGTGGGGAGGGACTGCATTTTCAAGAGTAACATTTAGCCTTTCCCAGACTGATTTTGTATAATCTGCAGTTAGCCTGCAACCTTTTGCTAGGCCTGCAAAAAATACTTCCTTACTCCTCAGTGACAGTCTTCTCCCCAGCTTGAGGACAAGAGGATTCCTTTTTTCTTGGTACTGATAAAATGTATTTTTTGCCAGCAATATAGCTGCTACAGAAACATGTGCTACTGTGTTTCTACTGTTTCATTCTGTGAAAAACAATATAATGTTTCATTATATATTCCACTATGAAGTTTTTTTGTGCAATAATGTACAGAGGCGAAGAGTAAAATAACAAATAAAGGTAACAAAGGTTAATATCAATTTAGGTAAGAATGGAGGGACAAAAGCTCTAGGCTTTTAGTAAAAGGTGGGAAGTAAAGAGGGAGGAAGCCTTTCTTTGAGATTTTAATGGCTTAGCAGTGGTTGAGAGAGGAGCAGATAGTTGTAAAGGGAGTCAGGAAGCCTAGCAGCAATGGCTTAATTGAGAAAGTTCTTGAGAAGTAAATAGCAAAATTTGAAAAACACTATAGTGTGATGTTAAGACACTATGGCTATACCTCAGTTTGACAGACTGGAAGGGATAAGGAGGATGGAAAATTCAGGAACCTACTGATTCTCAGTTGAGTTTTTTGAGGTTCCAGTGAGAGAGGATATAGTCCTCTGTCTTGGAGTGACAGCAGTCTTACAGCATCTGAAAGTCCCTAGACATTTTGAATGCATGGTTTTATGATGGCTGTGAGTAGAGATTTGCAGTATTGCAGAGGGAAATGATGAAAGTATGAATAAAGATTTTAGTGGAGGCAGGGTCGAGGTAAGGATTCTGGCAGTGTGCCAGAGATGGTGTTAGGCATATTGACAGGGGAGAGGCAGGGAGAAAATGTAAGCTCAGGATGAGGAATGACTTGAAGGTGTTAGTTTGCTCCCAAGGATAGACAGTAAATCTTAGTTTATTGGTACCTAATGCTCCAAGGTCCATGTATGCTGTAACAGATAATATAACAGTATATTACACAATAAAGTAAAGGCTTGGCAGAGAAGGAGAGATGCCAGCTGTGCCACTCTTATGATACTAGAGACAGACTATAAAAATATTAGAATTTTTAATATCACTATGGCACCCTGATAGGAAGCAGTGTGATGGTAGTAGTTTTAATGTATGATTACTTTTAACTCTGTGTCCTAGAAGAAACTTGCTAGTGTCTTATATGATCCTGAGTTTTAAGAATTACTTTTCCATTAAGCAAGTATTCAGAATGCCCAGCAAATCACTTTCTTTCCCTGTTAGATTTTATAGGGGTGAATTTGAAAACACATAGCTTTATTTAATACCTTAAAGTATTGACTGTAACAATTAACAGCAATTTGGTGTTGTGTCTAAGTAATATAGCAGAATAATCCAGGGTTATTGGAGAAGTGTTGATTTTAGGAGGTGGTGGCAAAGGCCAATGTAAGTGCATCTAATAGTGCTTTTCCCTGTCAAACTTGTTTGTTGAACACACTTTTGCAGCTCTGGTGGAAGAAGTTTATTCTGCTCAGCGGGAACGTGATGAGGCTGTCATGGCAAGGCTCAGGTTAGCCAATGAAGAGAGGGATGAAGCATTTCTGCGTGTCCAGCGTTTAGAAAAGTCTCTCAAAGAGTGAGTATACATTTCCTGCACCATGTAAAAAGGCTGTTGTGTCGGTCTGTGACAGTCATAAACTGCTCAACAGTGCTTATAGGAAAACTTAGCACATTATTATCTATGCAATAAAATAGACTAGGGCTAGTCATACTGTGTTATTGGTTAATTTGTTAGCTGTTCTGTAAAACCGTCTTTTTCTCTGGAGATTGAGAAAGGTGAATAATTTTGATCACAAAAATTAAAAATATCATCAAAAGCTTCAGTATTGATTTATTGAGGGAGAAATAAGATGAATGTGACATTTTATAGGGATCTTTTGACACAGAGTACCAGAATGTCAGTCAAAAGTTGCAACATATAGGAAATCAATCAAGGCTTTAAGCCCACTAGACATTTCCTACAGCAAAATTTCTACTAATTATATGGGTGACACAGTAAAAATATATGGGTTTTTTTCCTATCTTTAGTTTGGGAGCAGTTTGTAAGGTAATAAGGGTACAATTAATAGTTCATAGGTTTTAATGTATCCCATTTAACACAACAGAAATAGGTAATCTTATGTTAAATAGAACTAAGTCAGGAGGAAATTGTCAAGAGTGGTTTCTTTCTCCCTTTGGGATATAGGCATCTTTGAAGCTACACTTTGCTTCTCCATACAATCCTTGTCCATATGAGTTGTGATGCTCTTGGTGATGATCTTTGTTAGTCCCTCAAACAGTAGTCCCACAAAGACTAGAGTGGCTGAGAAATTTCTCTTACTTTTCTGCCAGGAGAAATACAAAACAAACAAGCTTTTCGTGGTAGGAGACGGACTAGGTGCAATTGCTAGTTAACTAAATGACAGGCAATTATATTTTAAATAATTGATTGTACTAAGAACACTCCTCTTTAGGGCAGAAAACCAGTCATCTTCTTTTGGGAATTTTTATAGTTAGGGCCAGGGAATATTATCTGAATTAATTTCAATAATCTGCACATAATTTGTCCACCATTACTCTGTAGAATTTACAAGTTGCTAGAGTTTGTCACAGCCCCAGTGTTTGTCACAAATATGACTCAGCAGCAAAATTAGGAGATTGTATACCCACAAGAATTAGTATATGGTTTGTTAAATATCTCTACGGAGCCCGACTTCGTGCATATACATCTGAAATCTTGCCTTAAACAGCAGTCTCTGAGAAAATTATAGATGTGCTTTAAATTCCTCTAAGAGGCATCATAACTCTGAGCCTTATTTGACTCTCCAATTTCTTCTGCCCACCTTGTAATCTTGTATGTTCCAAGAGTAAAGAAAGTTTTGTATGGCTCCAAACATCACATGATCCTGTATATAAATAGTTAGCCTAAACTCAAAATCTTTGATCTTAAAGCACTCGAGTAATGCAGAAAATTAATTATTCTGATCAACAAACCTGGTCAGTGACTTCTGGGTTTCTGACATATTGCTGCTTTTTCTGCAGTGGAATCCATGGACACACAGGTGACAGTTCTTGACACACACGTCCCTCAGAACACCTTCACTTGTTTTCCTTTCAACCCCTTCTGTCTGCTTCACTCATGATCTTGAAAACTGACAGTTCTAAGCGAAAGTACAAGAAAAGAGAAGAAACTCCATTTCTCAGAGACCGTGCATAGTACCTTCCTTAAAAGTATGTCATTGCAGAAGGCACTGGATACACTGGTAATGCCAAAGTAGTACTTGTTCCCAGGAGAGTCAGTAACTCCCTTCACTGATATTTTGAAACCAAGCTATTACATTTTATTGCCATCATTTAGAGAACAGCAATTGTACTAGCTGTCATTCACTTGGGTGTTCTTTCCAATACTGTAGAGAGAGGTCTGATACCCTGATGCCATTCAGAACCTAAGAACTGGTATAGGAGATTTCCCTGTGGAGAACACCAACTTTCTTTCCTAACTACCACCCTTGATAGTTTCTTCCTTCCTTATGGTGGTTCAAAAGGTCAAGTTCCCTGTCTCAGATGTGGAGCACATAGAGGTTTGGGGTTTTTATAAAGATCATTGGCTACTTGTGCCACACTCATCAAGTTTTAGAGCACAGGTCACTCTTTCCATCTGCTTTGGACTTATTCCAATCAGAGAACTTTACAAGAGTGCAATATTGAACAGCCTGCCAACCTTTTTCAAATGCCTTCATGCTTTCTTTAAATTACCAGCTGCAGCAGCTCTATTGTCATTATTTAACTGTAACAACCAAAATTCTTTCAGCCCTGTTGGCCCTAGGGGTTATGTTATCAGAATGTGTTTAGAAATGGGGGAGGAGGAATCCTTGGTTACTTCGGTTTAAAATCATGAGGTTTTCATTCATTGTCTATGCACAGCACAGGGAGACTTAGCAGGGCAAATATTCAGCTCTGGATGCTACTTTTTAGAAAATATTGTCACCTAAGGAGGTGTTTGTATACCTACAGACAGATCCCTTGTGGCAGTAATATGCTGAAGGTATGCTTATGGCAGAAGTTCATGTTCTTTTTCCCACTCCCATTTCTCCCTAAGGTGCCTTGCTTACCCAGCCTGTTGGTTGGCTGGGTGATTTTGTTGACCTGCACTTTTAGCAGTGTAGAAGTCCTCTGGAGAAGCTGGGTCAGTCCTGCCAATTTACTTTGACAAATACCGTTCTTTTCATTGTGAATACAAACTAGCTGGAGATCCATTTTTAAGTCCCACATGGAGTAGCACTTAGAACAATGTAAAAACCTAAAGCAGGAACTCTACGAGGATCCAGATCTGAGAATTTATTATAGTAATATAATAATTAATATTATTATGTTTGTTATTTTATTATTTGTGTTATTTTGGGAATACAAGTCAAACAAGCAAAGGTTTGCTTTTACTTTATTTTGTTTAGTTCTGGTGCTGACTGAATATTTTGGAGAAGTTGCTGCTTGTGAATGCTATATAAATATACCGATATATACTGATATATCTACTGATAGTATATTCTGAAGTAATTCTTTTTTAATTTATAAATTTCTGTACTGGTTGATTTACTATGCCTTATGTACTGTTATCTGCTAAAACTAATGGAAAATGTGGTAGCATGCTGTCAAGTGTTCTATAATGTTTGCTAGCTAAAACCATGGCTTTGGAGCAGTGCCTGTCACAGCACTGCTGAAAAAATGTTGCTGTTTAGAAGATGTTTAATGGCACTGTATCTGTCTTAAAACATCATAGGCTACTTTTAGTATATGTCACCATTAAGTAAGTAGCAGTGGAGTGGTAAGGTAACTTTAATATGCTTATTTTTCCAGAAGAGAGATCTCTGTCCATTTAACTAACATTAGGTAAAATAAAACGTGTGCTATCCCATTTATTAGATTTTTGTGCTATCACTTACTACTTTTACACAGCCAGTGTTCAATGCTGTATGACTAAACTCTTCGTATCATCTTTGTATTTGACAGGTCAATATATGTTCTGTTGAAATAGAAAAGGAGGAAAGTGCAGGCAGGTTTGTTCCAGAATTAAATAAGGACCTTGCAAAGAATTGGCTTAGTTTCCTATTTTATGCAAGATATAAAATCAAAGTATTTTTAAAGTAACTTCAACTGATTTGGGATTTTTCCCTCATTTTGGAAGAAAGAAGTGGAAAAATAATTACCTAAAAATGAAGAAAACCCTATCAACAAAAGTCATGTTCTGTTTCATTCAGGGTGCAGTAAAAACAAAACAAAACAAAACAAAACAAAAGTAAAAGTTGTAAGCCCAGAAATAAATAAAATAAAAGCATCAGTCATTTCTATCACTGGGGAACTTTTTTCATCTAAGCACATATGAACAATTGATCCTTGTAGTCATATATAGCAGTAAACATTAATAACTTAACAGTCTGAAGTCAGTGCTGAAGATATGGAGCATTATTGAAAGATGGAGTCGAGCAGGTGGCACTTTAATATGTTCAGTGTCATGGTTGACTCTAAAGACTAGTAGAATGAAATTACTTGAGGTTCTAAAGATTTAAAAAGCGAACTCATTTTGCTGCACTAAGGAAATGCTACTGATCAGGCTTTCTGTGTCCCTTTTTTCTAGGCTAGAAAATATTAACCCTGAAGAAAATGACATGGTAAGCCATTCTCTGAGGAGATTTCTTGATGTCAGTCTTATATCTTAGAGGCTTAAGTTCAATTGAGTGGGTTTCAAGAACTAAGATGTGGGAAAAAGAAGAATTGACACACTAATAATGTACATCTTTGCTGCAATATGAAAATTCAATAACTTCACTCAGTCAATTTACAATTCACATGTGCCTATTAATTAAAACCCTATATTAAATAAAATATATTAAAACTTCATGTCTGACTAACATATAATGCTGTTGGTAGACATTACAGGAATTACTGAACAGAATAAACAATGCAGACACAGGGATAGATATACTGAAGAATGGCGCTATAATTCTGAACCGAATACACAGGACCAAAGAACGTAAAAAGAAAATAATAGCTGAGGAAATGAATGCAGTAATAGAACAACGAGATGCTGCTTTATCTCAAGTAAGTCTCTACAAGTATATAATCACTCAGTAGCAAATTTCTTTTGTTTCTTCTTCTTTTTTTTTTTTTTAATTTTTTTGAGAAGGGCAGGGGTTGGTTTACTTTTGGGTAAGAAAATTATATTGTTTACCTCTCTCATTTGAAAATCTCAGAGGAGAGCCCTTTTAGTAAATGTCTGATTGCTGATCAACTTTTTATTCATGGTAGTAGTGCCCATTAAAAACGGCATCACTGTGTTTCATGAGAAAAGTTATGTTTGTATTTTTTGTGCTTCATTACTATCTGTCTTCTTTCTAAAATGAAATCGTTTTCAGTGACTTGACCAATCTAAAAAGATTTTAAGGGCTTTGTTCTGCAGTATGCTGTATTGGTGAAATGCATTGGATGACAGTTAACTGGGATGGAAGGATTTATAAAGGGTTGTAAGTTGCAAAAATATACATTAAAGGTAGATAACAGTACCACATGCAACAATGCAAGCAATTCCTCCCCTTGTTGCTTTACATTCAGGAGATAAAAGTCAGCATGTGGTCCTTGACTCTCAAAGTCTTACCCATCTACTACGTGACTTAAAAGAATCTGGGTTCTTTTTTCTGCTCAGATCACTCATTGCCTGCAATTTCCTATTTTGAGAGAACAGTAATTGACTTCATTCTCTTCACCATAAAGAGAGTCTCTTTGCTTCTCTCATCTCATGGAAAAACTCATGGAAGAGTTTTTCTCTGGTTTTTTTTTTTGGTTTGAGTTTAGGTTTTTTACCCACCATTTTTTAAACGGAATTTTAACTCAATAGGAATACGTTGTAGGGAGGAACAGTCCAAGCAGGGAATGTATCTCCTGAGAAAAGATCTTAGACTGGATGAAGCTCCTTATGTATTTATGCCAGGCAAGAAATTTCATCTGACTCTTCCAATACTGAAAACTTTGAATTTTAATCTAAGTAACCAAAGCTGGCCCACATGTAAGTAATTTCTACTAGATTTAAAGTCAGGTTTGTGATCTTTAATGATATCAATAGTGTTAATTGAATTTATGTTCTATTGAGAAATTCTCTGGTAAAAGTTCCCCCTCCACAAGCACTGTAATTTTCACACTTTTTCCAGTCACTGTTTCTACATTCTCTCCTACTTTAGCCTTGAAATCCCCATCTGCCTGGTGCTTAAAATATTTTGTGTCTGTCAAGTATGTATTACAAAAAATCTTAATGTATTATTGGTGGTATTTTACTTTCTTAGTCTATTTTTTTTCCTTTTATAATAATATTGCTGGGCTGTTTCCCAGCACAGCTACTGGGAAACATCCAACAGCCCTTCCCAAAGTTTATGTTCTTTCTTCTTTGCACACGGCATTTGAAAAGTGTAGCTTGAAACAGGAAAGCTTTCAGCAAAACAGAAGGATCTCTTGATAGTTTTATTTTCATTTTTTCGGTTTTTGATTCTTTGTTGAAGTAGACTTACAGGTATACTTGGACCATAAAACTTCTATGAATGTCAGAAGAATATTTTTGACAGGCGTTTTAATACGCTTTTTAATTTAATTGATTTTAAGCTGCCTGTTTAAAGAGTAATATTTTCCAAGTAATCAGCTTGAAAATTAATAATTATTTCAGATAGTAGTTGCTCAAGTGTCATACTATAAAAGCCATCTTTGGGCACATCAGGAAAATGTACAGGTAATGCTACTGCAGCTGAAAAAATAAATTAATAGAATAATAAATCCTCACGAAATGAAGATGTAAATACTTGGTATTAAGCTGTAGTACTATGATATTGCTAGCCATTTATACCACCATTGTTTTAAATTAATTGTTATTAGTAAAACTATTCATCCTGTGTTTTCAAACATGTGATGTTTTTACAGCTGTTACTGTTGAATCTAGAAAATAGATCCTTGGAATTGAAGCTACTTTCTACCTGTGTTTCTCACTTGATGATTCCTTGGGAATTCGTACCATACTTGAATTATTAGTAGTCTTTTGTTAACATTGCAATAGCAGTAGTTATTACAGTGCTAACAGCAAGAACAATAGGAGAGGGATTCTACAATAGACCACAAAGGGACTAGATATAATTCAGGGATGTATATGCTTAGCATAACAAATGCAAATTATTGGAAGTTAGATCTGGATTTGCCTCAGGCATTCATAATATCTACAAGTTTAAATTTTTTTCTTTTTGTGGAAGTGGCATCAAATATGAAGGGGAGAATTGAGAGCAGGTTGAGAAGAAGCAGAAATAGGGTAAACCATTAGCCTGCTGTATCTATCCTCTGGAAAACGCATTTGTAAAGTTCAGAGGTCACTGGGCAGTGAAGGTTGAATGTTTCATGACACATGGTGTTGCTTTGTTCCTGGCTGCTGTTGTGTGGTGCTGGAGACAGCAATGTCATTTGAGTGACCAATGTAGCTGGTTCCATATGGTAGAGAACTACCTATATGATAATAAGTGTTTGGACTGACTGTGTTTAGTGAAGCTGCATCTATTACTTTCCACTGATTTTCTTCACAATAGCCTGGCATTCGGCAATTGAGTGCAGCGAGCATAAGTAGTGTCTAGCTTTTGGGGGTCAACTCACAGGATTTCTGATTTTTCTAAGGAACAATAATCTGAAAGCCTTCACAGCTCAAACACGTACTTTGATTTCAAGTGAGGAATAAAGTACATTTCTAGAGAATGGACGTTCTATAAACTATGCCTTTCCTATGACCAGGTAAATGCAGATTACTTCCAACTAGTCTATTAAATTCAGTTTTATAATGCTTTTTCTGGTAGCTACTGAGCTGCATTTTACTGGACTGCAGTTGAAGCATACTCGGTAATTAGCTAGTTGTGACTCTTCTGTTTGAATTTTACTTTAATAATTTTTTATTCTTCAAAAAATGAAGACCACTGTCCATGTCTTGGAAAGGCCATGAAAATGTTTTTTCTAACTGTAACGTCCAAAAACCTTTGCATATTTTTTGAGATCTCCAGCATGAGCATTGCTTCTTACTAGGAGGCAGATTGAGGCACTTCTATCCTTGTATTGAGCTGTGCAAGTGTATATAATCTCAGATCTTTCGCTAGATTGCTGAGCAAATATGCAAACTACTTTTTGTATGTGTGAAAACAAATGAAATGGTATAAACTCAAATATTTGATACTACTTTTAGTATGTATTTTCAAGTGAATAATAAACAAACAACTAAAGCATGGCTAAACATTGACATCCATCTTCTCCTGTATCAACCCCCTTAAAAAAACAAACTCAACAGTTTGGTTGTATTTGCTAAGATATGTTTGTTAGTGAACAGATATTGTGTGATACTGAGGATCTTCAGCATGTTTTATGACTGATCCTCTGAAAGAAATAAAACACCATTTTCTTGTCTGTAATGTTCAGTTTTGTCTTAACCCATTCAAGGAAAAAACTGATTTGTCCTGTTGATCATAACACAGTTTTACCTTTCTTGAGAAATCTTTCTTGCTTGAGTAATCCAGTTAATTACAGACATTTAGCAGAGATTCCATATGGCATAGTCACGTTGTGTGATCCTCACAAAATACTCCAAAGAAATGGTTTCCAGTAGGAGGCAATACAGTACAGTGTCTCAGCCACTTATTAGCCACATCACACCTTGTGGACAGGAATGTTAATATCATTACAGGATTGGCAGCTGAAGACTTGAGTAACCCATTACAATTACTTTTCTTCTGGTTTAGACAAGAAAGGGGACCTTTTAATTGGTACAGCTTGAAGGAAGTGGTTTTTTTAAAGCTCATTAAGAGATTAGGAGATTGTGTGTTTGATATGTTTCCAGTCCTAACTAATTCTGTAAATGTGGGATATGTAAATTGGTAACAGTCAGTTCTATACAGAGTTTTAAATATTAAAGATGTATATAATTTGCTATTAAGGAATAGCAGTGGTTTCATGGCTGGCAAAATATCATCTCTAGTACACTGATCTTGAAGCAATAACATAACTGGCAAGCAAACCTGGTTTTACAGCTTTGAATAGTTTGACCACATCCTGCTGTGCAGGAACATGCATATGACTGTTCATGTAAAAAATTGGCAGGCACCCAGTTGCTCATCTGAAGCAAGTTAAAGAATCCTTCTCCATTTTGAGGCGCTGTTTGGCAGCAGGCAGCACTTTATCGTCATAGAAAACAATGACAAGATGCACTATGCTTGACTTCCTCTCATCATCAGTTTCGACTAATGACTAATAACTGATAAATGTCTGTGCTTACAGCTAGTCAGATTCTTGCTGGTTTGGGTTTTTTTGTTTGTTTGTTTGTTTGTTTGTTTTTGTTCTGCTAAAGCAATTTTCCTGCGTTTACACCAAGTAGTGTGTAGAACTCTGTGTTGCCTGTGATTCACAGAGCATTAAGGCATTTTCAGCACAGGAGCGAACAGGTCTTACTGAGGTAGTAAACCCAAAAGCTGTATGAAATGTAAAAACAAGAAATGTAGATGAAAAATATTTACAGATCTTGGATCCTTAATTGGGGGATACTCAGCTGACAGATTACAGTGCCTCATGACTCGGGACAGAGGTGATCCTTTTGCAAGCCAAACCACAGTTTGAGACATTAATTTTTGTACTTTTAATTAGAAGTTTGGTTTTATACTCTGTGTTTTGGTACCCTTTGGCACTTCTTGATTAAGGATACTAATCAAGTTCTTGGCTGTCAGGAGCCATTTGCCACTGATATTTGGGAACAGGAAAAGAAGAGGTAGGATGCTGTATTCACAGTTTTTTATGAGCCAGACAGCTGCTGTTGGGTACTGATGATTTTGGCCATGAACTTACTTCAGGAGGAAAGTGAAAGTAAAGGGAATATTTACTATACTTTGGGGATCCTTCAAGAACCATGCTTGTTCACTAATTACTAGTTGCCTTTGGGAAGGCAACAGCAAGTTGCTGTTCTTATTTGCATCCTTTGCTCTGAGACGTAGCTGATGAATGGATGTGGGGAAATTCCTTGCCAGCGGGATGGTTAAACAGAGAGAAGA